TTACATCTTTCAGTTTTTCAAAATTCCAGTTTTGGGATTTTTTAGAATTTCGATTCTTCAATTTTTCGATGTCTCGATTTGTACTTTTTCGATTTTCTAATTTTTGAATTTTTAAATGTTAGGATCTTTAATTTTTCGATTTTTTGTTGTTGCGAAATCTTGATTTTTCAATTTTTCGAAGTTTCAGTTTTTCGATTTCTCTGGTTTAGATTTTTCGGTTTTTTAATTTTTTAAATTTTAGATTTTTCGATTTTTCAGATCTTTAATATTTTTAGCTTTTTGATTTGCGAATTTTTCGATTTTTTCAATTTTTCGATTTTTTGACATCTCGGTTATTTGATTTTGAAAAATTTTCGACTTTTCGATTTTTGGATTTCTCGATTTTTCAAGCTTTCGATTTCTCTATTTTTTAACATTTCAATTTTAAGAACTTCACAATTTTTCAATATTTAAAGTTTTATATTTTTCGATTTCTCGAATTCTTGATTTTTCAGTTTTTCAGTCCTACAATGTTTCAATTTTTCGAATTTTTAAATTTTAGATTTTTCAGTTTTTTGATGTTTCGATTTCTCGATCTTCAGATTTTTCGACTTCTCGATTTTTAGATTTTTAGGTTTCTCAATTTTTCCATTTTGAAAATTGTTGATCTTTCAATGTTTAAAATGTTTCGATTTTTCAGTTTTTGGATTCTTCAATTTTCCGATATTTCAATTTTGGCGATTTTTTAAATTTTGGTTTATCGATTTCTTGATTTTTCGGTTTTTGAGTTCTTCAATATTTCTTCAAATTTTTAAATGTTTAAAATTTTTAAGATTCCAGCTATTTTATTTTTCAGTTTTTGGATTTTTGAATTTTGATGTATTTTTTTTGATTTTTCGATTTTTTACTTTTTGGATACTCAATTTATTGTTAAACTTTACATTTTTCAATTTTTCGACTGTTTTATACTTCGATTTTTCAATTTTTCAACTTTTCGATGTATTTAATATTTCAGTTTTTAAAATTCTAGGGTTTTCGATATCTCGAGTTTTCAGTTCTTCTACATTTGACAATTTTTCAATTTTTAGAATTTTTTAATTTTCGATTTTCCAGTTTTTCTTTTTTAAAATTTTTCAATTATTCAATTTTTTGATTTCTCAATTTATCGAATTCAGATGTTTCGTTGTTTTGATTGTTCAATTTCTCGATTTATCAATTTTTCAATTGCTTCTTCGATTTTTGGATTTCTCGGTTTTTCAATTTTTTAGTTGTCCGATTTTTCAATTTTTTAAATTTTACATTTTTCTATTTCTCGATTTTTTGAATTTTTAGTTTTCCGATTTCTCAATTAATCTATTTTTGATTTTCCCACTTCCCAAAGTTTAGATTTTTCAGTTCTTCAATTTTTCGATTTTTCGACTTCGCTTTATTGGTTTTCGATTTTTCAATTTTTGGATATGTCTTTCAGTTTGGAGATTTTTAATATTTCGATTCTTCAACTTCTAGATTTTTCGATTTTTTATTTTTGGATTTTCAGTTTTTCTTCTTCTAAACTTTAGATTTTTCAATTTTTCGATTGTTTTATATTTCAATTTCTCGAGTTTCCAGGTCTATATTTTAATTTTTCAATTTTCCGAATTTTTAACTTTTCGATTTTTCGATTTTGGCCTATTTCGGTTTCTCAATTTTTCGATTTGTTGGTTTCTCGATTTTTGAATTATCCGATTTTTCAATTTTCCAACTTTTTAAATTTTCGAATTTCGATTTCTTCATTCGTTGATTTTTCAGTTTTTCGATTTTTAATTTTTGATTGTTTAATGTTTGGATTTCTTCATTGTTCAATTTTACGATATTTTAACTTTTCAATTTTTCAGTTCTTCAATATTTTTTAATTTTGACGTTTCTGAATTTCTCAATTAATCTATTTTTTTAAATTCCAATTTCTCCAGTTCCCAAAGTTTCAATTTTTCGATTATTCAGGTTTTTTATTTTTCAATTTTTCGACTCTGCTTTTTTGACTTTTCGGTTTCTCAATGCTTTAATTTCCTAATTTTTGGAAATTTCGTTCAATTTTCTGATATTTCAGTTTTTCGATTCTTCTATTTTTCAATTTTTCGATATTTGAGTTTTGGGATTTTTTAGTATTTCGACTTTTCGAGTTCTGGATTTTTCGATTTCTTAACCTTCCACTTTTTGGATCGTTAACTTTCCGTTTTTTAAACTTTAGATATTTCAATGTTTTAACGATTTCTAAATTTTAACTTTTCAATTTTTAAATTTTACATTTTTCGATTTCTCGATTTTTCATTTCAGTTCTTCGATATTTCAGTTTTTCAAGTTTCAAATTTTTCAAATGTTTTCATTTCTTAATCAATCGATTTTTCGACTTGCCGGTTTTAGATTTTCCGTTTTTCAATTGTTTTTTCAAATTTTCGATTTTCTCATTTCTTGACTTTCGAGGGTTTCGATATTCCTGTTCTTCAATTCTTTAATTTTTCGATTTTTCAGGTTTTTGATCTTTTATTTTTTAATTTTTTTAAGGTTTCAATTTGTCGACTTCACTTTTTGGATTTTTCTATTGCTCAATTTTTCGACTTTTCAGGTTTTCCATTTTTCAATTTTTCAAAAATTTCAGTTTTTTGATGTTTCGATTTCTCGATCTTCAGATTTTTCGGCTTCTCGATTTTTAGATTTTTAGGTTTTTCAATTTTTCCATTTTGAAAATTGTTGATCTTTCAATGTTTAAAATGTTTCGATTTTTCAGTTTTTGGATTCTTCAATTTTCCGATTTTTCAATTTTGGCGATTTTTTAAATTTTGGTTTAATAATAATAATAATAATAATAATAATAGTTTTAATTTATCGATTTCTTGATTTTTCGGTTTTTCATTCTTCAATATTTCTTCAAATTTTTCAATGTATAAAATTTTTAAGATTCCAGCTATTTTATTTTTTAGTTTTTGCATTTTTTAAAGTGTACATTTTTCAATTTTTCAAAAATTTCAGTTTTAGGATTTTTCAATGTTTCGATTCTTCAATTTTTCGATTTCTCGATTTTTAAATTTTAGAATTTTCAAGTTTTTAGTTTTTGATGTTGCGATTTCTTGATTTTTCATGTTTCGTGTTTTCAATTTTTCGGTTCCGTGATTTCAATTCTGGAATTTTTCAATCTATCGATTTTTCAATTTTTTGATTCTTCAATTTTCCTCTATTTGGCGATTTTGTAATTTTCGATTTTCGATTCTGGATTTTTCGATTTTTCAGTTCTTCAATATTTCTATTTTCTATTTTTTCAATTTTTTAAATGTTTAAAAATTAAAAGATTCCAGTTATTTTCTTTTTCAGTTTTTAAATTATTTATTTTTTAAATCTTACATCTTTCAGTTTTTCAAAATTCCAGTTTTGGGATTTTTTAGTATTTCGATTCTTCAATTTTTCGATGTCTCGATTTTTACTTTTTCGATTTTCTAATTTTTGGATTTTTAAATGTTTGGATCTTTAATTTTTCGATTTTTTGTTGTTGCGAAATCTTGATTTTTCAATTTTTCGATGTTTCAGTTTTTCGATTTCTCTGGTTTAGATTTTTCGGTTTTTTAATTTTTTTAATTTTAGATTTTTCGATTTTTCAGATCTTTGATATTTTTAGTTTTTTGATTTTCGAATTTTTCGATTTTTTCAATTTTTCTATTTTTTGACATCTCGGTTATTTGATTTTGAAAAATTTTCGAATTTTTTGGATTTCTGGATTTCTCGATTTTTCAAGTTTTCGATTTCTCTATTTTTTAACATTTCAATTTTAAGAACTTTACAATTTTTCAATATTTAAAGTTTTATATTTTTCGATTTCCCGAATTCTTGATTTTTAAATTTTTCAGTCCTACAATGTTTCAATTTTTCGAATTTTTAAATTTTAGATTTTTCAGTTTTTTGATGTTTCGATTTATCGATCTTCAGATTTTTCGACTTCTCGATTTTTAGATTTTTAGGTTTTTCAATTTTTCCATTTTGAAAATTGTTGATCTTTCAATGTTCAAAATGTTTCGATTTTTCAGTTTTTGGATTCTTCAATTTTCCGATATTTCAATTTTGGCGATTTTTTAAATTTTGGTTTATCGATTTCTTGATTTTTCGGTTTTTCAGTTCTTCAATATTTCTTCAAATTTTTAAATGTATAAAATTTTTAAGATTCCAGCTATTTTATGTTTCAGTTTTTTGGATTTTTTAAGGTGTACATTTTTCAATTTTTCAAAAATTTCAGTTTTAGGATTTTTCAATATTTCGATCTTTCAATTTTTCGATTTCTCTGTTTTAGATTTTTTGATTTTTCAATTTTTTGAATTTCTCGCTTATTGCATTTTGAAAATGTTTCGACTTTTCGATTTATAGATTGCTCGATTTTTCAAGTTTTCGATTTCTCTATTTTTTAACATTTCAGTTTTGGGAACTTTTCAATTTTTGAATATTTTAACTTTTCGATTTTTTGACGTTTCGATGACACGATCTTTCAATTTTTCGACTTTTCGGATTTCGATTTTTCAGTTTCTTGATTTTTTTGACCCCACTTCCTGTAAGTCCCAAAATAATTAAAAATTAAAACCCTAAATAAGTTCTCAAAAGGTATCAAAGATTGTTTCTTCTTTTTTCTAGAAATTTCCTGTTGATTCTCAACAACTATTAGATTTTATCATCCTTAACATGAACATTTTTCTTCTTCAGTCTGCCAGACTTACGGCCTAGTAACGCCATAATTTCCAAAACACTCCAGTCCAAAGTTCTGATTTCTTATTTATTCTAACTTTACACGTATGTTTTTTTAATAAAAAAAATTCATGAAAAACTTCCCCTTTGGCACTTTTTTAAACTGACGGATATCTCTGAAAGAGAAAGAATGCGTGCGCAAAGACAGATCTCAGATACGAGAGTTGTCGAAAAAAATAATCTCTTAAATACGGAACCCAATCCAATAAATTTTGCAGGAAAAAATTCCACTAGCAAATAAAATCGAAAAAACGCAATTTCAGGCAATTAACCAGGAATTATTTCCCACAATTGAAAACCCACGCTCAAACAACATCAATTCAAACTGCGTCACACGTGGTGACGTCCAGCCCACCTCCGGACCCGCCACATCTCCACCATCTCCACAACCGGCCTCTCCCCAGCCCAAAAATCGCACCCCAAACCCCCCACTCGCCCCAAAACACGAAAAATAAAAAAAACCGTAAACAAATTAAGCTCCTCCGAGTGCGTTTGATGAATTCCACGTCGGCGCCGCCGCGCTGCCGTCCCGATATTGATTTACTCGGGCGTGTATGTGCGAAGTGGTGGCATTCCCAAAGTGGGCAAAATCGCGAAAAAGGCGAAAACCATGTAAAGAAGCCGCGCCGCGATCCACCCGTTGTTGGCCCCACGATGACGACGACGGACTCCGGCGAGAATCAACTGACTCCGCAGACCCCGGTGCTAACTGTTGCATGTCGAATTCTGCGATCGCCGTCGCACGAATCCGTCACCACGGACTTGTCCTTGTTCTCAGTGTCTTCAGTCGCGTCCGACGCACAAGCGGGGCGCCGCCTTCTCAGCTTCGGCAAGTGTGATAGCCAGTTCGCCAGGGGGCACAGCCCCAACCCCGACAACAGGCTGCAGGACAGGTTAGTGTGCTACCAAAACAAAAACAAACCGGAGAGGTCGGGATCGATCGCCGTGGAGGTCGGTCGGTTGGTTGGTTGGTGTGTTGGCACGGAGAGCACGAGCGGGAGGGTGGAGAGGTCGCTGGAAGTGTGCGAAGAGTGTGGGTGCCGCTGGACTGGTTTGAGCTTAAGATGGAAGAGTGTCCGAAAGGGACGTGCCTTTTTTCCATTTATTTATTTATTTATTTATTTATTTATTTATTTATTTGTTTTTTTGTATGTTGAAGGTACAGACCTCATGAGTGAGAAGTTGTAAATTTCGAGATGTTTTTAGACAAAAGTGAGCCATAATTTTTTTTTTCACGTTGGCTAAACTGATTCATTGACAGACTGTCAGTGCGTGAAACTGACGTTCACTTGAGGCTGGTTTGCCACATTTATTGTTATTTAGTAATCATATTACCAACTTACAATATTTCAGACTTCTGTCATTCAAATTTCAATCATTTTATATTCATTATTCCATAGTTTTAGATCTCACTGCATATGTACTTCCCAAAATTTTGAGTAAAGCATTCCATATTTTATTTAGAAAAAAATGTCTAACATCATGTAAGTAAGTATACAGAATTCGTCATTAATTTAGTCTTTAATAATTATAGTTATAATATAATATAATCAAAAATGTTGATACGGATAGTTAACCTTAAAAGTTTATTATTTAATTATTCATTATTCAAATGTGAATTTTAAATTTAATTATATTGACAGTGCTTTGAATCGTACTTATTGGAATGAAAAGTACAAAGTGTGAAATTATCTATTGGCAACAGTGTTACTGTTTTTGTCAGATTTTCTAACCGTACATTAACAACAAATTAACCTAACATGATAATCATTAGGGATCTCTGCATTATACGAAACTGGTTGCCAACCAAATCACTAGATTTACATGGCCTACCTTCGTCTAAAAACATCCTAACCGGTATACCGGGTGTCTAGAAAATGGCGGATTAACTCTTCAGTACGTTCAGAAAAAACTGATTTTGGCAAATGAGATACCTTCTAAGAAAACAGCGGGTGGGTGGGCGGGGCTAATAGCTACTAAGATAAGTTTGATTTTGGCAAATAACATATCCACTAAGAAAAGAGAGGGTGGGTGGGCGGGGCTAATAGCTGGTAAGATAAGACTGATTTTGACAACTGAAGAACCAGTTTTAAAATCATTATACCTCCACCAAAATGTGAGAAAGAATTTTTTTATTGTTTTCTCGGTTTTCCCAGACTCCTCAGTTGGTTGTTAAAAATGTAGCCGAGAGTTAATCCGCCATTTTCCAAACACCCGGTATATAGTAAAGTGTCCAAATTTTGTGCTGTTTGTACAAACAGTCAAAGTAAATCCACACAGGTGGTTACAAAAAGACCTACAAATACGAACGACCAAACTTTTAGTTCTTAAAGTTCGTGATCCATACTTAATGAAATCTTGTAAATATACAGGGTTGCTAAAAGTATGGAAGCAGTTGATTATCTCGGAAACGGTTAGTTAGATTTTCAATATTTAAAAAAATATCCGGAAATTTGTGTCATATTTATCTCGCTCCACTTGTATAAAGTGTATCAAAAGTGACATCCAAAGATGTTGTGAATGCCGGGGACGTGGACCAAATCATGGCTGATTTAGACGTTTTGTTTACACCGTTGCCACGGAAACCGTGCGTCCAGTCGCGATATTGCACTGGAGTAGGGTCCAGTTCCGATAGTGCCCAGGAGCAGTAACTCAATTAATTTATTCGGGTTTTAATTTGTATTCACTATTTACAATCATTAAATAGGAGTATTGTTATTTCTAGAATATTTTATAAATTACTTGGAAACAGCATTTCAGTGGGATTTATAAACTTGATGTTTTAAGTTTCTTGTTGTCGAAATAAGTCTACAAATACTAAGGAAAAAAGGCAAAATGGAGCCCCGCCCACCCACCCGATCTCGATTGTGATGATTTTTTTTATTCGTCGTGAGCCAAGAAGGCGGAGCTTAACTGCAAAATCCTTATTTCTCTACGAGAAATTAAAAACATGTTTTTGAGTATCACGTTCATCAAAGAATACTATGTATATTAAGAAAAAAATAAAGCGAAAGATTAGGCCCCGCCCATACCTGCCCCGATCTCAGTTCTCAATTGCGATGAATTGGTCATTAGTTGTCAGATCGAGGGGCGGGGCTTAATTGCAAGATCCATATTTGTCTACAAGAATTTAACATGTTTTAAGTTTCTTGTTCTGAAAAGACGACTACGTTTATTAAGAAAAAAGGCAAAATATAAGCCCCGCCCACCCGCCCTATCTCAATTGTGATGATTTTTTTTTTAATCGTCGAGAGCAAAAGGAGCGGAATTTAATTGCAAAATCCTTATTATTTCTCTATAAGAAATTATCATATACGACATGTTTTTGAATATTATGTTACTCAAAGAATACTATGTATATTAAGAAAAAGTTAAAGTCAAAGATTAAGCTCCACCCATATCTGCCCTGATCTAAATAGTAGTTAAATTTTCATTCGTTGGCAGCCCTAGGGGCGGAGCCAAATTGCAAAATCCATATTTCCTTACAAATCACTACATTTACATGGCTTACCTTCGTCTAAAAACATTATAAACGGTATACCGGGTGTTACAAAATGGCGGATTAACTCTTCAATACGTTCAGATAAAACTGATTTTGGCAAATGACATACCCTCTAAGAAAAGGGAGGGTGGGTGGGCGGGGCTAATAACTGCTAAGATAAAACTGATTTTGGCAAATGAGGTACCCTCTAAGAAAAGAGAGGGCGGGTGGGCGAGGCTAGTATCTGCTAAGATAAGACTGATTTTAGCAGATGACGTATCCTCTAAGAAATTTGATTAAATTATTATAACAAAAGACACTAGAAGCTTCAAAGCATTTTCAAATTCTTTCCAAACAGGAATACGTAGAAAACGGGGTCCCAAAATGAACTCAAAATCAGATCAGGTCAAAATTTTCCAAAAATAAAAGACCAAAGTAGAGAGCAAAAGAACCAATTTTAAAATTATTATAACTCCACCAAAATGTGAGAAAGAATTTTTTTTACTGTTTTCTCAGACTTTCAGTTGATTGTTAAAAGCGTAGCGAAGAGTTAATCCGCCATTTTCCAGACACCCGGTATATAGTGAAACGTCTAAATTTTGTGCTGTTTGTACAAAATAGCTGAAGTAATAAAACATCCACACAGGTGGTTACAAAAGGACCTACAAATATGAACGACCAAACTTTAATAATAAATCATTAGGTACCTATTACCACATTTCCAGTTCTTAAAGTTCATGATCCATACTTAGTAAAATCTTGTAAATATACAGGTTGCTCAAAAGTATGGACGCAGTTGATTATCTGGGGAACGGTTAGTTAGATTTTCAATATTTAAAAAATTATCCGGAAATTTGTGTCATATTTATCAAAACTAAATTTTTTATCTCGCTCCACTTGTATAAAGTGTATCGAAAATTACATCTAAAGATAGTGTGAAAGCCGGAGACGGAGACCAAATCATGTCTGACTCAGACGTTTTGTTTACACCGTTGCCATGGAAACCGTGCGTCCAGTCGCGATATTGCACTGGAGTAGGGTCCAGTTCCGACAGTGCCCAGGAGCAGTAACTCAATTAACTTATTCGGGTTTTAATTTGTATTCACTATTTACAATCATTAAATAGGAGTATTGTAATTCCTACCAATATTTTCTAAATTACTTGGAAACAGCATTTAAGTGGGATTTATAACCTTGATGTTTTAAGTTTCTTGTTGTCGAAATAAGTCTACAAATACTAAGGAAAAAAGGCAAAATGTAGCCCCGCCCACCCACCCGATCTCGATTGTGATGATTTTTTTATTCGTCGTGAGCCAAGAAGGCGGAGCTTAACTGCAAAATCCCTATTTCTCTACAAGAAATTAAAAACATGTTTTTGAGTATCACGTTCATCAAAGAATACTATGTATATTAAGAAAAAAATAAAGCGAAAGATTAGGCCCCGTCCATACCTGCCCCGATCTCAATTCTCAATTGCGATGGATTTGTCATTAGTTGCCAGATGGAGGGGCGGGGCTTAATTGCAAGATTCATATTTATCTACAAGAATTTACCATTTGAAACATAATTTTCCTGTTCTGAAAAAAGCACTACGTTTATAAAGAAAAAAGTCAAAATATAAACCCCGCTCACCCGCCCTGTCTCAATTGTGATGATTTTTTTTTAATCGTCGAGAGCCAAAGGAGCGAAATTCGGAATTTAATTGCAAAATCCTTATTATTTCTCTACAAGAAATTACATTGTAAGATATGTTTTTGACTATCGTGTTAATCAAAGAATACAATGTATATTAAGAAAAAATTAAAGCCAAAGATTAAGCGCCACCCATATCTTCCCTGATCTAAATAGTAGTTAAATTTTCATTCGTTGGCAGCCCTAGGGGCGGAGCCAAATTGCAAAATCCATATTTCCTTACAAATCACTAGATTTACATGGCCTACTTTCGTCTAAAAACATTATAAACGGTATACCGGGTGTTAGAAAATGGCGGATTAACTCTTCAATACGTTCAGATAAAACTGATTTTGGCAAATAATATACCCTCTAAGAAAAGGGAGGGTGAGTGGGCGGGGCTAATAACTGCTAAGATAAAAGTGATTTTGGCAAATGAGGTACCCTCTAAGAAAACTGAGGGCGGGTGGGCGGGGTTAGTATCTGCCAAGATAAAACTAATTTTGGCAAATGACATATCTTACAAGGAAATAGAGGGTGGGTGGGCGGGGCTAGTATCTGCTAAGATAAGACTGATTTTAGCAGATGACGTATCTTCTAAGAAATTTAATTAAATTATTATAACAAAAGACACTAGAAGCTTCAAAGCACTTTCAAATTCTTTCCAAACAGGAATACGTAGAAAACGGGGTCCCAAAATGAACTCAAAATCAGATCAGGTCAAAATTTTCCAAAAATAAA